GCACTTACCCAGGTTCAAAGTTGACCAGCAGTGACAAAATGCACTGAAAACTTCGTGGAAGGACTCAAAATCTGTTCTCTGAAATTATCTATAAAATTCAACTGTGCTAACATTTGCTGTTTTTTTCACCAGGCTGTATATGATTTTCTAAACCCATGCTTATATGAAACACCATTTTTTTTTTTAACCAAACACATTATTAGTCCAGTGTTTTTTAAACCTGGTAGAAACCACTATTTTTCTCTTAAAAAAAGGAAAGAAAAAAAATTAGAATGAAACAATGTATCAGTGCATCATAAGGAGTCAAGATGAGTATTGTTTCTTGATGCTTTTATTTGTTAGACATAAATGTATGTCTAGGTTTACTGAAGGTTGTGTCCAAAAATGTTTGAGAGATACTGGCTTAGACAATTGTAATTGTTCATTTAAAAAACAAAAAGAACTTGTCTTTACATTGAGCATTGGACTAGAAACTGATTTCTCAACAGTGGCTATATATTAGAATTTTTAGGGGCTAATTTTTAAAAGACCCACCGTCAGGTATTCTAATTTAATTGGTCTGGGATGAGACCTAGGTATCAGGATTTTAAAAGCTCCTCAGTTAAGTCTAATGTACAAACTCAAGAACCACAGGGCTGACTATATGTGGGGTGTCCTGTGTAATAACTTTGATAGCTCTGAGAATTTGAGGTTTATTGTTCTGAGCACTGGTGATCTATTCTGTAGATAGCTGGATGATATGCTCATCCATTTTCACTTTTTTCTATACTTAGCCTTTTCTCATTGGCTATAGATGTTCAAGTCTCACTTATAGTTACTCAACTTGCTTATACCTCTCCTTTTATTTCTCACTAAAGGAATTTTGGGAATGATGCTGCAGAATGGCTGCTGTACCTTTCCATAGGTCTGTGTACTTTGTTTTATTGGCTTCTGCATTCGTCACTGAATGATCGAATCCTATTGAGAATTATCCCCATGCAGGCAATTGGATGGTGGCAGAGTCTCTCACTGTAGTGCTCTGCTGGACTGGTGCTTTTTTAGGGGAGTCTTCCCACCACCTCTCCCCATCCAACATCCTCCACACGGACACATACACCATCCCAGAGGTTTCCTACCAATGAGCTCCTTTTGGTTGCTTTTGCCTTTTATTACTAATAAAACACAGTAAAAATACAGAGAATCGGGAAACATACCCAGTACTTGCCCAGCTAGTAGCGAGGGAGTATTGGATAGTAAATTAAGTGCTTGCATGACTTTTAAGTTCAAACATACTTGGGTTTACATTCTGGCTCTGCTTTTCACAATCTGCATAGCCTTGGTGTTAACTCCTCCCACCTGGTTTCCTCTGCAAAATCAGATACTGCCTTCACAAGGTGGTTGTTAAAGAGTAAAGGAATTCATGCATATTAAGTGTTCAGTGATACTGGCACAGATTGGGCACCCATGAAGTTTCACTATCATGACTGGAGAGCTGGTCCCTTGTCCCTCTCCTTTTTGGTAGCTTTCTTCTCCAGTGTCAGTGTTTACTTTTTCCAATCACAACTGCACACAACAATCACAGTGATATTTCTTATTTTTCCTCTTTCTGTGTAAGTGTGGTTTTAAATTGACGTGGCCAGGCAGTCGGAGCATGCCTTACTTCCTGCTTGGTCAACCAACCAGCTGCTGTGGGTTTAATGGAAACACAGTCTATTATTGCTGGGTGCCCAGGGTTACCTCTTTGCTGCCCACTATAGAAGATGGTTCTATAATAGTCAAATAATTCTCATTTGACAGTACTTGTTAGAATGTTGAAACATTCTGAAAGTTGGGGGGTGCCAACAACGTCTCTGGAGAATAATGATCTTACAGTCCATAAGCAAAGGACAATATTTTCCCAGTCCTGAAGATGTATCTACTATCAGGATTTGTGAGTTATTTAGTTTACTAATACAAGAAAATCCCTCTGGGTCTTTCACGTGGGTCCTCTCCCATGTCCGAGGACCCAGGTGAAAGCCCCGGGCAGCCTGCCCACCATCTGCACAGAAGGCGAGAGCCTCCTGTGACTGAGGACCCAGGCAAAAGCCCCAGACAACCCTCCCACCACCCACACAGAAAGCAGGAAAGTGCGACCAACACTGCTTCTGCATAGGTGGTCCACCACAGCCACTGCCACAACTACTGCCACTGCAAGGACAGCTCATCACCACAGTAGCAGCCAGGACCGCCTGCAAGCAGTCCATCATACAGTCAACTGCACTGACATAAGGAGAATCACCAGCAGAGCCTGCAGATGGAGGAGGA